GGGGGGGGGGGGGGGGGGGGGGGGGGGGGGGAGAAAGGGGAGGGTGAGAATAAGGTGAAAAGGAGTAGACTACTTTTTTAAGATTTTAGAACGATGCAGATGAAAGTTTAGGGAGGATGCCCCAAAATTACTAGTTAAACTGCCTGTCCGGACCAGCCGCGTAAGTAAAGCAATACAACGAAAAATAACATTACTCCTTATGTATGGCATTATGTATAACTAACAGTGGCAAATCGATCACATTCAAGCAGCCTTTCTGACTAGAATTCAAAATTTGCATAAACATGATAGAAAAGTTTGGAAAATCGATCAAAAGGCTTGAAACAATTTCCTCGGGAAACCGAAATCGGAAATTTATATTTTATACGTCTCTTCAGGATTACTCATGTGAGAAACAGCCAACATGAACTGAATTTTTCTTTATATGCGTTTTGCGCTGTGTAACAGCAGCACAAAACACATATTGTCAAGGGGTTGTCTATGTGTGTTTGTGTCTGTGCCCGAGTACATTTTGTCCCGCACTTTTAACTCGGAAACCACAGAAGCTAGACTGCTGAAACTTTAGCAGAGTGTTCCCCGCCCAAGTGTGACTCTGCAAATTTAAATTTAGCCTTCCCATGCCCGCGAGTAGCACCTATGCCTCCGTGAAAATTATAGCGAGGGAAATTATTATCTTGCGAACCACGGAAGCTAGAAAGTGGAAATTTTATGGGTATGCCCCCTACTCACGAGCGACTCAGAAATCTAAATTCAGCTTTCCCGTGAGCTTGGGTGTCATGCACAGCTCCGCGAAATTTTGACGAGAACACTATTCCGGGGAACCATGGAATCTAGCAGGCTGAAATTTAACGAGAATTTTTCCTACCCAAGTACAACACCGCAAATTCATAACCAGGTTTCAGTCAAACCTCAGTCTCAATTATGTCTTCGTGAAAGTTTTGACGTGAAAAATTAGCATTTCGGAAGCCATGAAAAATAGGAAACTAAAGTTTTGACAGGATGCGACCTCGCAGAACCAAATTCAGTTTTCATACACGCTTGAGTCTCTTGTGCAGCCCTGTGAAAGTTTTGGTAGAAAAAATTATTATCTCGGAACCAGAAGGCTGAAATATCAGGAGGATGTTTTCTACCTGTGCAGATGCCTCACAAACTTAAATTTAGCCCCTAAGTATGCCGAGATCTTAAGTGCGACCATTTCCGGAAAACCTGAAGTTTGAAATTTGGAGGATGTTCTCCGTACAAGGTTTTAAATTCAGCTTTCATGCACGGACACGTGAGATTTCTAGTGGGAAATTCCTCGACTTAGAAGCCAAACAGCATATCGACCAATTTTGCGCATGAAAGTGTAAAATAGTTATACTTTTAGCAGGAAAACGTCTGCTGGGCAGAACTGCTCAAAACGCATGATCGCAACGGCTACCCTCATGCGCTCTGCTACTTATTTGACATGAACTGGAATTTCTGCCTACTCTTGCGAATTTTTTGTCAGCCCTCGTCTTACAGCAATTAGCAAACAAAAAGTGAACCTTGGTTGAGTGTTTTTGACGTCGAATGTGAAATACTGATTTGTTGCAGCTTCATTTGCATATGCTATTTTTTCTTCTTGCGCGCTATCCGGAGTACGATCGGATTCCGGAGTCCTTGGGCTTGACGCTGCAATGTGAAATGCTGTGTAGCTGCTGCCAGCGAAGAGAGATAAGGATTAAAATTTTTCCAAATTTGGGATCACTAATCAATTAATTGTCTACCAAAGGTTGGTAGCAGTCCTAAATAAACATTTTTTACAGCACTTAGTAATACCATTTTCGTCTGATTCTGCGGCTTTTGATGCTACACTGAAACGTCGTATATGCGATGTGAACGATTCGATTCGCTTCAAAGGCGGCTTTGTCACATTTATTTCATCATTGCTGTCCTGCAAAGACTTATGCACAAATTCGAAAAAGATTTGCAGCTCAGACTTAGCTGAATCAGAAACATAAGAAATTTTGAAATGAGTAAAATTTACCGTATCGGTGAGTGATGAGGAAGATGGATGAGTTGTGGCCAAAGTCGCGACAACACGAGATGCAAGTGAACGGGTACGTTGAGACATCAAGGCCGCCGGGAAAAAAAAGCTGATAAAGTGTGGACTAACACCAGATAGCCGATAATCGCGACTGCACCAGAAACATCCCAAAAAATTTCAATCCTGAAAAGCAATTTCACCACATGCTAAACAAAATCAATATAAAGAATTCAGCTGCATAATAGTCACGATTCCATGACAACTAGTAGATCAGGCATTTAAAGTTAAACTGCAAAGAATACCAACAAACTCTCTGCAATGCCTGTCAGGGCTTGTACTCTGAGGAGGAAGTGCAAGCTCAGCCAAAAATGCAACCTCCGCCAAAAAGAAAGCTGGTCTTTTGAAAAAGTTGTAGAAATTATAGCTTTAAAGAAAGCGTGTTTGGGAGAGGAATGCCACTGGCCTGGACAGAATATGTTATCCATTTTAATAAGTATTGCCAAAAGCGCTTTATCTGAGCGTTTTATTCTTCAAGACGTGCACAGAAACAAACAAAAAGAAACAATGCTGGAATGTAGTGCATGAACTGCTTCGAGATTACTGGAAGACAAACAATAAAACTGAGAGAAAAATGATCAAATCGTCGTGTTAACGGTTTCCAAAATTCACGCAAATCACAAGAGGCAAAACTGCTAGCACAATAATGATAAGTAAGAATCCCGCATCAATAAAAAAAAAATCCGTGATTTTTTAATGGATAATAAGCATATACTTGGCAACTTAAAAAAAAAAAAAAGTAATTGCACCAATAGCAAGCCCAAAACAGAGTTCATAAAACAACAGTACATCTCCTCATGCTTGTTTTTGTCATGAAATACTCGTAAAAAATTTTTGAGCCAAATAGAAGCGAATACTTATGCAATGCAATGAATATATGATGTGCAATGAATGATGTGCAGTGATGTGCAATGCAATAAATGACAAGATGCAATGAAACAGCAAAACTTCATGACCAACAGATAACGACGTCAACAATGAACTAATAATTTTGTTCAATGATAGACCCGCGCGTGGAGGCTGAAAATTTCACTACAGGCGCTCAGATGCGCAAATGTTTCCAGGACAACGGTCCAGAAAATGTATAAATGCAGAAACGGAAAATCTGCGTGTTTGGCGTACCAGCTGTTTAACTGTCATGCGGATCTCACTGTAAGCATACCATAACAGTAAGCGGCGCTGTCGAGTATCGGAAAATTTTTTACTGAAACCGGACAATGAATAGGCAAATGACGGAACTTGGTAAGTAATTTGGCGAGGGACGTTATTCTGCTTTAAATATACGGGAAGAGCAGTGGCGTGATAGCTTAGCGGTGTGTGTGTGTGGTGCACCTCTTATTCTGCTTTGCTGCAGTGCAAAATTCGAGTGCTGGAAGCTACTCTTTTTAATGATTTGATGTACGCATGAATAGCAAACTACTACTAAATTATTGACAGCGGTTTGCCAATACTTCACTTTATTGGCAGTTACTATCATTAAAACAGACAGTCACCGCCGGGCTCCGCAACAGCTCCTTCGTCTCTCTCTCCCTCACCCGCTCCTCAAAAAATGAAAGAAGGCAAACGAGTGATTTAGAATATTCTATTGGGTGATTTTTTTAAAACAAACATTCCTACCACTCATTTGTAGAAATTTCTCAAAATTTATGCACACAGTTAACCGGTTTTACATGACGAAAAGTAAAGATTACAAAGACTTTCAAGTGAAAACAGAGAGAAATTTGTTTAAAGCACAAACAAATCGGAAGAAATTACTACTTTCACACGGCTGTTTCCCAGCAACACTTCTTGCAGAGCCAAAAGTTACTTCCGATATCAATAATAAATCAGTCTATCCATTAAGATAAATTGTTCCTCTTTCTAAGCCATGCCCGCAATTCTGTTGGTATTCTACAGCTTGGCATTAGCTACAGCCAGTTCCGGAAAATCACAATTAATATCCTTTACAGGTTCAAAAAAGTACGTCTTTTTGATGGCAAGGAACGTAGCCTTCGCGAGAGGTCCCAGCATGTGACAGTTGGTTGCCGACGTATAACAATCCTGGATGCCACCAAGTCCCAAGAGTTTCTGGATAACTGGCGGCCCACAGATACCGGTACCACGTGGAGCAGGATAAAGTTTCACCTGGACTTCATAGTAACGTGCTACTATCTGAAAAGTCTGAAATTGCTAAAGGTTGAAAGATTTTTCTCTTGTTTTTGTAATTTAGCTTTGATCCTATCAACTCGAATCAAATATAGCAGTAGAGGTAATTTGAACTATTTCTTTTAAACTTTAGTTAAAAACTTAATAACTGCATCCTGTATTTTCACAGTGCTTTTCGTTGCAAATCATCCTATCGGCAGTGGGGGACAAATCCAAACAGATCCATGGATACATCCGCAAACATTCACAGTTATGTGCAATACATATGTAATTGTGCACAGTTTCAGTCCTATGCAGAAAAACGTACGGTACTCAGCAAGGTGAAGACCGGCAAGCTGGTAAATGTAAACGAGTTCTAACAGCCACACTCAAAAATTTAAATTTACACTAAGCATTTCTGTCTGTTGCATCGGTTTGCTGTTCCGTCAGAGCAAAATAATTGGCCAACGCACGGGCTGCTCGTGCGAAGATGCGTTTTTTTTTTTGCATAGTTTCCCGCAGTTTTTGTAGCTATCGGCATCGGTTTTAACGGCAAATGCTTCTAACTGAACAAATTAAGACTGGCCGCCAGAATTGGTAGAAAACACCCCCTTAAAATTTCAGCTTTCTAGCTTTCCTGGCTCCTGAGTTATCACCTAGTTGGACGGGGAAAATCCTCCTAAGATTCCAGCATTCTAGCCTTCTCAGATCCCCGAGTTATGAACTTACGCGAAAAAAATTCTGGCGAGTCCGTACGCGGGTATCACGTCTACCCAGGCGATGGGTTTGAGTGCGTGAACACACAGCTGGACGGAGAACGTCTCCCTAGGATTTCAGCGTTCTAGCTTCTCAGATCCCCGAGTTATGAGCTTACCCGGAAAAGATTTTGGCAGGCCCGTACGCGGGTACCACGCTTACCCAGGGGATGGGTTTGAGTGCATTAACACCCAGTTGGAACCCTTAAGATTTCAGCGTCCTAGCTTCTCAGATCCCCGAGTTATAAACTTACACCAAGAAAATTTTGGCGGGCTCGTGCGCGGGTACCACGCGGGTAATGGCGTCAATTTTGGAGATTAGGGCCGGCACGTGCATGTAGATTAAGCTCCCTAAATTTCAGCCTTGCAGCATTTATAGGTTTTGAGATGGAAGTGCATGACAGACGCACATACAGACACAGGACACGCAGACAACCCCTCGCATAGCTGCAAAAAACGCATAAAAAGGAAAAATGCGATGACCTTGCACGGAACTGTGTGAGGTACGCCAGTTTTGAAGTGCCAGTAAGCTCGTCGGATTGGCACCACTGAAGTTTTGGCCCGATAGACAGCACGACGAATAGCAGTGCTTACACGCTTTGCACACTGCACTCCGAGGCCCACGTGCCCGTTCCTGTCACCAATAGCAACGAACGCTCGGAAACGAGTGCGCAAGCCGCCTGATGTTTCCTTCTGCACTGGAAGTATTCTCAGTACCTGATTTTTTAGCCCAGGCAGCAGTCGGTCCACTATCTGGTGCTCCTGCAAACTCGCTTTCTGGTTTTCTATAAAATGTCAAACTCAATTTCCAAAGCTAAACAGCCCTGGTAAAAATCGCTCCTATAATGCAACATCCGAAGAGAGCGAGAGAGCAATGTTTTACGATATATTTTGCAGATCATCCCCAGAACTGCCTGTCTGCAATAATATTCGGCCTTACGCGAGTTACCGAAAATTCGTATAAATTTCTTTCTATTTAAATCCCAGCGCATCGCATAAACAATCGTTGATAAGCAATTTCTAACAAATTTACACAAAAAATAAATTTACACCAAAAATTGTACAAATCTGACGGTTTGTCAAATAACTGATTTGAGCGTTTGAGAAAATAATCAGCAAAAAGATAAATCAAATACCAGCACAGGAATAGATTTTTGATAAATTTGTTCAATTGAAGTCACTTTTCCATCCTTTACTAAGCGACCCAGTTTGGTGACCGGCGTCCACGGCCCTTCCGAATCAAGCGTTATTCGTCGAAAGCCACTTCCGATGGAGCGAGGTTGATTTTTCGAAAAATTGGAGCTGAAAGTGTGTAAAGTCAGAAAACAACATACATACCAGAAAACCATTGCTTTTTATGCGCTTTTTACAGCTATGCAATGCGCGTTGACGAGAGGCTGTGTGTGCGCAGGGCCTCTGTACTGATTTTTCATCTCGGGACCTACAAAAGCTAAAGGGCTGAAAATTTGGGAACTTAATCAACATGCATGTACGAGCTCCGACCCCCAAAATGGGCGGTCTTACCCGCGTGGTACCCACGTACGGGCTCGTGAAACTTTTTTGCGGGCAATTCGCTAACTCGCGAACCAGAAAAGCTCGAAAGCTGAAATTTTAAGATGTTCCTCGTCCACTCAAGTCTAAATGAGCTCAAACCCAGCCTTCGGGTAAGAGTGGTACCCGCGTACTGGCCCGCCAAAATTTTTTTCGGGTAAGTTCGTAACTAGGGGATCAGAGGAGCTAGAAAGATGAAATCTTAAGGAGATGTTCCCCGTCCAAGTGGGTATTAATGAGCTTCAAACCAGTCCCCAAGTAAGCGTGGTGCTCGCGTACGAGTCCGCCAAAGTTTTTTTCAGGTGGGTTCATAACTTGAGCGCCTGAAAAGCTAAAGGGCTGTAATTTTAAGTGGATATCCCCCGTCCACCTAAGTCTCATTCAGCTCAAACCCAGCCCTCGGGTATGCATGGTACCCACACATGGGCTCACCAAAGTTTTTGTCGCGTAAGTTGCTAATTTGAGAACCTGAAAAGCTAGAAGACTGTAGTTTTAAGAGTATGTTCCCGTCCATATAAGTCTCAACGAGCTCATACCCAGACATCAGGCAAGCGTGGTATCCACGTGCGGGTCCATGAAAATTTTCTTCCACTAAATTGCTGACTCAGGAGTTAGAGCTAGTAAGCTGAAATCTTGAGGGGGTTGTTTCCTCACAGTTCTGGCGGCCAGTCTTAATTTGTTTAGCTAGAAGCATTTGCCGGAAAAACCGGTGCCGGTAACGACCAAAACTAGGGGGAACTATGCAAAAAACGCATCTTCGCAGGGGTAGCCCGTGCGTTGGCCAATTATTATTATTTGTCGACTAAATTAATGGCAAAATTTGGAATGAAAAGGTCCTCTGGTTGTATTATAGTTATCAATGTCTACGACCACGAACTAAGTGCGTCCGTTCAAGATATGGTCGCACTACCTAATTCAACAGTTGTAAATTGGGCTGCATGGCCAACACACCTACGAATGTGCAATACCCATTTCCAGAGCATGACTGATTAATTGCAGGAAGAAAATGGAGAAGGAAACGAAATTTAGATCGTGGCGACCAGAATTTTCTCAGCAATTACTTCATATTTTAGCTTACAAAAATAGTAACTACCATATGGCCGTTTTAGTTTTTCTGATTGCTTCAGCATAGGAAATTTGTCATCCTTTAAAATTTTCAAACGGTTGATTCCAGTCCCCTCATATGTGACCAGTATTCACTGTGCAAGTGTGAAGAGAGTAGCCGTTAGGTGAGATAAAGGAACAGACAAACTACAGAGGAGAAATCAGGATGGGATTTGACACAGTCAGCATTCATCTCCAGAAAAAAGCAGGGCAAAAATCCCCAGTATAGAGCCCGCTTTTCAGTCACTGCGACCATGGCTAAGTTAATAAGTTCTTTGAATGACCGGAAGATGAGAAAAAATGAAATTATAAAAGTACTAAACAAAGCAGTACCTTGGCCATCTCTCAGTACGGTCGCTCGATGCACGACTATCGAAGCTGCTGAAATAGCCGCTACCGAAGCCACCTCGGAAAGCTCGACGACGCTCCATAGCACAACACCTAAACTAACGAAGAACAGTGTGCTTATGCATGATCTGCGAAAGCACTCTCCATTCCGGTACTCCTGGAGAATTCACGTCTTGCACAAGCTGGCGCGTTCACTTGGAAAATCACTCTCTGCACACCTAGTGTTATATCCACACACCTAACGACGGTTCAAGGGATTGAAAAAAAAGTTTTTTAAGCCTACAGAGAACTACAGTGAATTCCAGAAAGAGTGCTGAAGTTGCGGGAGCGCGCGTCGGCACTTCCAGAAAGAGTGCCGACGCGCGCTTTCAGCAGCAAGCAAGCACTGGTGGTCATAGGTTGTGCAAGACTGTGCCATCTTCAAGGCGGTTCTGCCATAACCTCATTAAGGTAATCTTGCACATATTTTTGTAGTATTTCTTTGCCCTCGGTTCAGTTTGTCACTGAAACTTTGAATAATTTGATGGCACGCACCAAGGTTGCCCGTGCATAGTTTCATGCAGCAATAAGATCGCGTAAAGTATAAATGTGAGTCTCTCGATATGCCAAGATGAACAGTCACTCGAAAAACTCGACCTCACCAAACAAATCTGTGCAGTTCCAGGTTGCCTTCAGTTGTTATTAACTTCATACGCGATTTCTCCCAAAGCTGCTCAAGCGATCTTATCCCTTCTTATACTCAGTCTAAGAAGCCTTCTAAATCTGGTCAAGTGTTGGTACAGCCACACTAGAAAACAGCTTGCAGGGGCACGAAATGTTAACATACGAGAGTAAAAATCACATTTGAGCACCTTGACGTCTACCTAGCAACGCTGGAGATATGAGAAATGAGGAGGGTGAGGCATTTAAAAAAATTCTGGCTGCGCAGTCTTGGGGCTCCAGTAGCCTCTTCCTGAAAACGCAAGCGACAAAGACACACCAGGCACAAGCACACAATCAATACCCCACATAGCCGGGCAAGTCGCTCGGTTTACTTCACCTTCGTGATTTTTTACGACTTTAAAATTAACAGCGATAGATCGCACATGAATCCAAAGATTTTGTCCGCTACTTTCCGGACGTGCAGGTAGACCAGGAGATTTTGTGGTACAGCTGTATTCGTGATGTGTCAATTTGCCCTCAAACTGTAAGGTTCCTTCTGCCTGCACTCGCTCACATCTTAGCTGGCCTACATGCAGACCGTTCTATCCACTACCGTTTGAACTTTTTGATCGGTCTAACCATTAGAACTTTTGAAGTATTTAGTACTCAGTCGCCTTGTTCTCAGAGGACTTGTGCAAGTGCATTTGGGCGCTTCTTCTCATCGAACGCTTGAAATTATATCAAGCACAAAATGAGAAATAACCTCGGGAACAGGCCACTCAGAAATTAGAAGTTTTCGATGCTTTTTAGCTTTTATAAAACCTTGCTGGCATAACAGTTTTGACTACCCGGGATGGACAGTACCAGTTTACCACCAAAACAAATGAATGAGTCGTAGAGGGGCTGCTTGTCCCACTGGCAAAATGGATTCTTCCACATTCTGCACGATAACAGCGCTATTCGCTATTGCATCATACCCGCTTGCACGTGGTCATTTGGGCTATTTCTGAGCGTCTCCGCATCTTATGCCCAGTAAGTAAAGAGTTTTTTACTTTTTATGCGTTTTTTGCAGCAATGCAATGCGGAAAACGCATATTGACGAGAGGTTGTCTGTGTG